ACGTGGTTATTTTGAACATTTTTTCATATTTTTGCAAAGGGTTTATATAGAATACAATCTCATGGATTCACTAGCCTTACTATGATATGGAAGGAATAGTCTAGGTAGAAATTTGTTATCTGTTCTTGTTATTGTAGTTCTCTTGTGATTCCCTCAAAATAAGTGTTTTCTCCTAGGAGTTCTCTTCCTTGATTACTTGTTTCTACTTTGTTCTTTGCACTTTTAGGTGTATTGAATTAAGTATTGTTTTTAAATTACTGATCATTCTAATGAAGACTAATACCAATTTATAGGAGACTCAGCATGTGCATCTTTTGTACTATTTTCATCAGCAAAAAGGTTATTTTATGAGCAGCTTGTGCCACGTAATGCTCCAACAAATTGTCATACGTTGCCTCTGTTGACCTTGGAATTCCCATCTGCTCATGTTCTGTAGATTCACTATTCAAATTAATATAATGCTCCCTCCGTTTCAATTTGTTTGCCTGATTTTGACTTGACACGAAGTTTAACCAAAGTAAAGAAGACTTTTGAATCTTGTGGTGTTAAGCTTCTCGGTAATTATGTCACTTGTAGGCTCTTTATTAGTCCATTATGTGAGGTTGGCAAATGAACGAGTTAGCATGGCTTAGTATTATAAGTTTTATTTGACGTATGACCTTTTGTTTTATCGGAGAATTAAAATAAACTTAACATTGCAAAGATTGAAAATTGAGTGTTGCCATACCCTTGTATGACTGTATTGTCTCATTCGACTGCTCGCTGTTTCTAAATAAAAACGTTTGATGCAGAGAATGATCGTGTTCAACAGTTGTTCAATGAATTAAGTGATGCAGTTTTTTCTTCCAAGATCGGATTTATTTTAAGGTGAACATTGCTGCTAGTACTAAACTATGCTCCTTTTCTCCGTTTGATTGTCCCTGAATGATAAGACTTCCGTGCATCTGCTAAATATTGACATAGCTTTACCATCTTAGGAAGGGGATTTTTAGCGTAACCGGTAAAGTTGCTGCTATGTGTTCTGAAGGTCATGATTTAAAAATTCATTATTTAACCTAAACTAAGTCCTCGTACAACATAAATGTTAAAAGGCATAATACATATATTGGACCTTAAACTTGGCTTCAAATTTTAACTTTGACCTCCAACTTTCAAAGTGCACAAATAGACACTTTAACTATCCAACCTTTTAATAAATAAACACGCGTGTCTTACCTGGCAAAACGCGTGATGTGCACGCATTTTGCGCGAGTGAGAAGTAATTTTTGAGGCACACAACAGTGAAAAAAATGCTGAAATGACAATTCTACCCTTAATTATTATTATTATTTTTTAGATCTAAGATTGACGTGTAAAGTGTTTAATTAGTTGGCAGCCATTGAGTGGCTCACTAATACACGTGGCAGCGTTTGCAATTCACGCTCTTGGCTCCAAAAATCGCGTGTTTATTTATTAAAAGGTTGGATAGTTAAAGTGCTTGTTTGTGCACTATGAAAGTTGGAGGTCAAAGTTAAAATTTGAAGCCAAGTTTAAGGTCAAATATATGTATTATCCCATGTTAAAATAATGCATCTTTTTAGACCAAACTAAGTCCTTGTACAACACAAATGTTAAACTAATGGATCATGTTAGACCATTGAGATTATAAAACTAAGCTCATTTAGTAAAGACAAAGGGAATAATGTCATAATGGCCTACTATTATGTTTGTTTCTGTACTTATCTTGTTTGTCACAAAATACAACGAAATACGTACAGACATACTTTGTAAGACTTATCTAAACCATCTTTCATTTTCATCAGATCTGTTTACTTTTCATTTCATCAGTTTCTCCGTTTTCAGAATGATCCTTTAGTTGCTGATATCGTCCTCTCAAGTGTTCTTCTTTATCTCTCTCCTTTGCCTTTACGTAAATATACGATTTCTGTTTTGAGTGTGGTGTGATAATATAAAATGAAGATATGAATAATAAACTGGAACACATACTGTTCATTCTTAAGAAAAGTTTCAAGAGAAGTTCTTAACAATGAATTCACATTTCCAAGAATAGTTTCAAATATCCAAATGGATTCGTAACATGTTTTCGACTGTTACATTTCATCACCCTAAGTGGAAATAAAAATAGAAGAAGGTAAAATAGAAAATAAAACAGAAAAAGGAAAAGTGAAGATCAAGAAGTTCTGGTAAATTTGGTTTGAAAAATTTACTATGTGAAAGAAGAAAAGCAGTACATTCAACTACTTGCTAAAGTCGGCGCTGTATGCTGTACACTCGTGACAAATGAATTATTGCAAGAAGAAGATGTAGAAGAGAATTGGGAAGTTGCTATTGACAATGTCATATCTTTCTGGTTTTGCCTTTTGGGGAATGATACATTCCTACTGTGGACACAAGTCGTTTGATTATCCCCTTTCTGCTTGTGCAATGCACAACTGCAGTTTTTATGGTAAGGTCGTCTCTCGATATTCATGTCTGACATCGACAAGCTTCCGTCAAATACACACTGAAGCATCATTGCAGCTGCTACAGTGGCCATTCTCTTCTCTCTCCTCTTTCTTTAGTGATGCAATGTGGTTTTGTATGAAGTAAGTGTAATCATATGTGTTTGAGGATTTATATAGAGATAGTAGTAAGTACTGACTTATGTGCCCAGCTTAGGGAATTTGATAGCATCAAGGGTGAAAAAAAGGATTCTCTAGAATTCAACAAGTTCTTGTGCATGTTATTACCGTACTATCAATGAAACTAGCGTTTTTTCCTATGATCTGTTTTTGTCTTGGCTGCAGTCTTTGCTTATTATGTCTGCACATGCTGTTTTGTTCTTTATATGTACTTACTTCTGCGTGTTCATTTTATGTAAGATACTTTTATTATTTTACTCTTATATATACTGGTGTTTGATAGTTTTTATTCCGCTTACTACAAGAAAATGTACTTTAAGCTACAAAATACATTGTAGCTAAATATAAAATTTTCCGTAGCTAAACACTTTAGCTACATTATTTTGTTTCGTAGCATGCGTAGCAAGATGTAGCGTGGCTAATAGTTAGCACATCTCTCTCAAAATTCAAAGCACAAAGCTCGAGTGAACCTTCATCTCTTCGATTTGTCTTTCAAAGTTCAAGTTCAACCTTATTATCATCTCCTCCTGAATCATCACATCAGGGGTAAGTTTATTTCCTCTTCGTCTATCTAAAATTCTTTTATAGCAAATTTTACTTTAACTTGTTTTCTCATCTTATTTTAAAATGGATTGTTTATTACTGGACCATAGAGGATATGTTAAGAATGAGAAGATCCTCTATTTGATAGTTTATCTCAGCCAAATTCTTTGTTTGAATCGAAATTATACTCTTCTATCTACTATAATCGAATGTAACGACTATCTTGTTGCTCCTTCAAAGGTATGTCAAGTCAATTATGGACAAGTAAAAATGTACGAAAGGAGTATATAATAGGTGGGGCAACTTGTTTGGTATCATGCTCTGGTCTCGTCCCTTTCCAAATATTGATTTGGTGTCTTTTGTTTCACTGTTTGACTTATTTGTTTTTTTTGCATAAAATATGTTGCTAGTGGTTTTTGCACGACTTTTTCAAAATTGTTAATCCTATTCATTATATGAAAATGATATTAAGTTATCAGATGCGAGGTTATTTTGCTCTGAATAATTTTTTCCATTTACAAATCTCTGCATTGTTTTATAATATGAACTGGTTGCCAGGAAACAGTAGGATAGGTATTGAAAACTGTAGAATGTCAGAGTCTAAAAGGATTGCCGGAAATAGACGCTCTCTTTTATGCAATACTAGATGTAGTTGGCCAACTCTCAAGTAATGAAGAATTACATTTTCTGATGCATAAAAGGTTTACATATTAAGGGTTGTTTGACCTACTATGTAATTTACAAACAACTTGTTACAGTAGTTCACGTAGAATTATGAGAAAATTACAAAGTTTGGTCTTTGCTAGGATCAGATGCTCAAGCTCATTTTAAGAACTGAACAGTCAGCTTTTGTTGTTTACTTTTTATAATTAAGATGCCAAATCAAAATACAAAAGTGTAGCAGTAGGAAATGAGCCTTTTAAATCTCTTTTCATTTTCAATATTCGCGTGTTTGTTTCCATCTGTTGGCCATTCTACTTCTCCGAATATGATTTTTATGTTGGGAAAGATAGCTGAAGGGACAGGATTTGAGTCAGGGGAGTAGTAAATGTATGTGTTTAAAGAAACAACTGCTTTCACCTCTGGCCCTAATCCAACATGGTTGATGGATTCTTGAACATTTCACAGAGCTGGAAAAGTGGAATGTAGATAAGTTCCATTGTATTTTTGAAGAAAAGGCTCATTTCCAAGTGTACTTAATGTCACAATCATACACTTAATGTTGTCAACAAAAGCTTTCTGCTACCAACTTTGACATTAAGTGGACAATAGTATGAATGTGATTTAGTTATTTCGAGAGTCGATTTATTGAAAACAACCTCTCTACCTCCTAAAAAATGGACGATGAACTCAACAAACACTTAATAATATATTCTCACCTTCTGCCCCTCTTCGTTCTATTGTTTTTTTCTATTCCGGGAGATTTTTATGCTAACACTATCTTTATCTGTTTGTTTCTTTGTAGGAAATTTGGAAATGGATAAGATTTGGATGCGTTGTACTGACACATCGAGTGATGTTTATTTAAAAGGAGTTGATAATTTTCTTCAATTTGCCTTTCAAAACTCCGAAGTAGAAGGTGAAATTCCTTGTCCTTGTACACAATGTAATAATGTTTCCAACGGGTCTAGAGATGAAGTGAAGGAACATTTAATACTTTTTGGGATAGTCAAAGGATACACACGCTGGCTTCAACATGGAGAATTTGCACCAAAAAAGAAACTCATTAATCAGGATGCAGAAGGAAAAGAGCAAGGCGAACCATCTCAAAAGAAATGAAAAGAGCGAGATGACGATACGTTTGAAATGATTTATGATGCTGCAGGTCCCAAAATAATGGATGATTCTAGTGGAGTAAAGTTTCAACAAGGTGATGCTTCAGAACCTACTTCCAAAATTTTCAAATTATTGGAAGATGCTTCACAACAACTTTATCCAGGTTGTGATACATTCTCTAAGTTATCACTGATTGTGGAATTGTTCCAAATCAAATGCCTTCATGGTTTGAGTGATAAAGCAACCGATAGCATATTGAAATTGATCAAACGAGCACTTCCTTCTGGTGAAACTTTACCAGAGTCATTCTATGGAGCAAAAAAAATGATTCAAAATTTAGGTCTTCGGTATGAAAAGATACATGCTTGCGAGAATGATTATATGTTATTTTGGAAAAAAAATGCAAAAGCTGAATCTTGCTTGGTTTGTGGGGAGTCTAGGTGGAAGTCAGTGGAAGGCCAAACAACTGATGGAGCTATTCAAGGAAAGAATGAGAACAAAGTTCCTCGAAAAGTGTTACGTTACTTTCCCTTGAAACCAAGATTGCAGAGGTTGTTTGTGTCATCAGAAATTGCTTCAGACATGGCATGGCATCATGATCGGCGCTTAAAAGACGGGGTTCTAAGACATCCAGCAAACTCTGAAGCATGGAAACATTTTGATACAACTAATCCTAGTTTTGCTAGAGATCCACGTAATGTTAGACTTGGATTAGCATCTGACGGGGTAAATCCTTTTGGTAACTTAAGTAATTCTCATAGCACTTTGCCAGTGATTATTACTGTATATAACTTATCCCCTTGGATGTGCATGAAGCAACCCTATTGCTACTTGTCTTTGTTGATACCTGGTCCTAAAGCCCCTGGAAATGATATCGATGTGTACTTAGAACCATTGATAGATGAGTTGCGAGAATTATGGTATTATGGAGTCGATACATTTGATGCTTCAAGAACAGAGAACTTTTGTATGCGAGCAGCACTCTTATGGACTATCAATGATTTTCCAGCTTATGTAAACTTGTCTGGATGGAGCACAAAGGGAGCTTTGGCTTGTCCTTCATGCAACAAAGACACTCCATCTACTCGATTGAAGTATGGTCGTAAGTTTTCTTACATGGGTGGTCGGAGGTTTTTAGCATCTAATCATAAGTGGCGGAGTAATAAACATGATTTCAATGGAGAAGTTGAAAGAAGACCTGCTCCAAATATTCTATCAGGAGATGATGTTGTACGCCAACTGCTTGCTTTGGGAGACATGAAATTTGGTAAGACCCAGAAAAAAGCAAGTACAAAAAAAGTAAAGGCATACATAACTGGAGAAAAAAAGCATTTTTTTTAGGCTTCCTTATTGGAAAAATAATTTAATACGCCATAATTTGGATGTGATGCATATTGAAAAAAATGTGTGATAATATTATTGGGACATTACTAGATATTGAAGGAAAAACAAAAGATAATTTGAATGCTCGTTGCGATTTGAAGGAAATGGGTATAAGAAGAGATTTACATCCAACTTATAGAGATGGAAGATGGTATTACCCAGCAGCATGTTATTCTTTATCACGAGATGAGAAGTCTAAAGTATGCAAGTTCTTGAAAGTGGTTAAGGTTCCAAATGGTTATTCTTCTAATATATCACGGTGGGTGAAGTCAGAGGATCGTAAAATTAATGGATTAAAGAGTCATGATTCACATATTTTATTGGAACAACTGCTTCCTCTTGCAATTCGTGGAGTCGTGCCAAGCAATGTCTATGATGCTATCACCGAGTTAAGTATTTTTTTCAAAGAATTGTGTTCGGAAACACTAAGGGTTGATGTGTTGGATCAACTTGTAGCTCAAATTCCAATAACACTGAGCAAATTGGAAAAAATATTTCTACCAGCATTTTTTGACGTTATGGTTCATTTAGTCATTCATCTTCCAAGAGAGGCTAAGCTTGGCGGACCTGTACAAAATAGGTGGATGTATCCTATTGAGCGGTATGTTTTAAATTTATAATTTTGATTTAATTTTATGTTGCTTGTTAATTTATCTTGTTAAAAAGAAGTTTGAGTGATATGTTATATCATGCAGATTTTTACACATATTGAAATGTTATGTTCGTAATAGAAATCATCCGGAAGGGTGTATGACAGAAGGGTATATTGTTGAAGAATGTATAATACTTTGCTCAAGATATTTACATGGAAGTGCAAAATGGCATAATCGAATGGAAAACAATCATGAAGTTGATCATGCTGAGAAATATAATGGATTATCAGTATTTGAACAAAAGGGTTCTCCTTTATTAAGAGATACATCAAGAAATCTTGAAGAATTTGAGCTAAAACAAGCTCATCTTTATGTCTTGAGAAATTGTGAAGAAGTTCAACCATTTCTACGGTATGTTTTGTTAGCTTTCCCTCATCTCTTACCGTTATTTTTGAAGTTACCTCGAAATAAAAAATTCATTAATGATCTTTTCGTTTAACATTGTTCTAAGTGAGCATGTTGTGCATTTGCCAAAATAGATTTCTCATTTATCTGAATAATGTACTATTCTTTCCATGAAAAATCCAGATTCTTTAGTTTTTGATAGTAAAGTCTCATTACCTAACATCATCAATTTCATGACATGAAAAACAATGGAGCCAAATGGTCTCCTATTGTTTTCATTTTCATAACCTCTGCTAGTTTAAGGAAATAGTGAAAGGGATTTTTACTTTTTATATAATTAACATTTATTTGTATAACAGTGAATATGAGAAGAGCAATAAGAGCATGAACTTTGATGATTGGTTTTTCCATCGAGTAAGTTTTTACTTATAACATATTAAATTTGTAATACTTATTTATTATCATTGATTAATTGATTTTTTGTATAGATTGTCCAAATGCGCAAAGAAGAAAATTCACTTGCAAGTTGTGAATTGTATTCTTTAGCTAGAGGTCCTTTTGATGGAGTTCAAAGATTCAAGGGGTATGAAATAAATGGTTTTAGATTTCATACTAAACTACTCGAGGAAAAGAGGAAGACGCAAAATAGTGGTGTTTTAGTAAAAGGAGTGGTGAATGGTCAAAATATCAATTACTATGGCGTTCTAACTGAAATAGTAGAACTTCAATATTTCGGAGGTAAGCGCATTGTTTTGGTTAAGTGTGATTGGTGGGATGTTGATAAGAGTGGAAATGAAGTGAAAATAGATAAACATGATTATGTTAGTGTTAACACTAAGAGAAAATTAGCTACAAATGAACCATTTGTACTTGCATCTCAAGTAGAACAAATTTTTTATGTTAAGGATAATCTTCATCCCAATTGGTCAATTGTTTTGAATGGTCATTCTAGTTACTTTATTGGAGGTGCTATTGATGAAGATACCTTTCAACAAGATGCTTGTAATGATTTCTCGCATAGATTTGAGGATGATGAAGACTTCATAAATTGGAAAAGAAATGATTTGGATGTTATTAGCATTGATGTTACTGTAGCTGATGATATCACTGAAGACAACGAATCAGAATCAGAAGCTGATGATGAAGATTTATTATTGTAAATATTTGGAAGTCTTATTTACTTTTGAGAATTGATTTTTATTTTAATAAGTTACTCCAACTATATGTGAATTAGTATTATTATTTACAGGTATACGTTGATGAAGTTTTCAGTTACATGGAAAAAAAATTGTTATCAATATACTAAAATTGTTATCAATTTTTCAGAACACTTTTTGGCCACTAGGCCATTAATATACTAAATATTAATAGTTTTTAAGGGGATTTTTTTCCTCAAACTATTGACATCCATTGTTCCCTATCCTTTTTCTGTTGGGATACTCTTCGTTCCTATATCATTTTGTCATGACAAATTATTATACTATTAAGTTAATTATTGCCACATTTTTTGGTACTCGAAACAAAATGTTAATTATGTTATAATTTTTTATTTTAAATTTATTTTTATGAGGAAAATTTTACTATTGTTCCAACTAGTTTCAACACGATCATGAAAAAACTTAATAATTAACTATAAAATTTTATCATCGTAAATAATTTATGACTATCTTTTAGTATGCCACAAATTTTTGAACTTGAAAAATATTTATTTAGCTACGAGTTTTTCTTCCAATAATTTATAGTGGCTAAAAAGTTATTATTAGTATGGAAAATTTATATTTATGGCGAAAAATCACAGTGTTATAAAATTTCATTCCGGCAAAAAATTTATGGCTATATCTTATAGTTATTGCCACAATTTTTTTATAACTTAAAGCAAACTTATTTATTTAGCTACAAATGTTCAAATAATTTATTGTGGCTAAAAGTTATTATTACTATGAATTTACGGCAAATAATATTGAATTGCTACGATATTATATTATAGCGAAAACTCTATGGCTATTTCATTTAACTATAGCTACAATAGTTTATAACTTGAAGTAAAAGTATTTATATAGCTACAATATTTTGTGTCAAATAACTTATTGTGGCTAAAGGGTTACTATTGCTACAATGACTTTTATCGCGTGACAATAACGTATAATTAGCTATAGAACTTTGTTGTAACAGTAAAATTATAGCTATTTAGGTCATTATTGCCACATTTTTTAGCAATTATAGCAAAAGTAAGGATTTAGCTTTATCAATTTAATTGTCGTGGCTATGAAATTTGACGAATTTTTTGATAGCCACAAATTGGGAATTTTTGTGGCTATTACTAAGTAATAGCTATGATTTTCAAATTCATAGCTTAGATTTCGTAGCTATAAATACATTTCTTGTAGTGGTTGCTGCATCTGTCAAAATTGCAAGACTGTTAGCTTTAATACCTCCAACAACCTCGACAGCCATAAAGATGATGCAAAGGACAACTGCAACACACAGTTTCCTCATCGATGTTGATCTCTCATGTGCATCCTTAGACATGGTATTAACATCTGAGAATCCACACGGTGCTTAACCATAGATTTTACCATGTACCTCAATTACATGTCCATATTGTTCCGCGTTCTGCGAATTAGCCTTGGTTTAGCATCTTTCTTGTTGAATAGGTACCTAATAGCTGCATGGTCAGTAAAAACAATCACTTTAGTACCTACCAAATATGATCTAAACTTGTCGAAGGCGAACACTAAAGCTAGCATCTCCTTCTCAGTCACTGTGTAATTAGCTTGTGTAGAGTCAAGGGTCTTGCTTGCATAATAGATCAAGTGGAACACTTTATTCTTTCTTTGTCCCAACATTGCACCCACTGCTATGTCGCTTGCATCACACATGAGTTCAAATGGTAGTCCCCAATCAGGAGCAATTAAGATGGGAGCCTCAAATAAGTTCCTCTTCAACATCTCAAAAGCTTTCAAGCACATCTCATCAAAGTCAAACTTCACCTCCTTCTTCAAAAAACTGCACATAGGTCTTGCAATCTTGGAAAAATCCTTGATGAATCGCCGGTAGAAACTTGCATGACCAAGAAAATTACGCACCCCTTTTATAGAAATGGGAGGGGGCAATTTTTCAGTAAATTCTACCTTGGCCTTATCAACCTCTAAACCCGACTTCGACACCTTGTGACCCAACACTATCCCCTCTCTAACCAAAAATGACACTTTTCCCAATTTAAAACTAAGTTAGTGTCCTCGCATCTAGCAAGTACTTTATCAAGATTCCGGAGACATACCTCAAAAGACTTTCTAAAGACGGAGAAATCATCCATGAACACCTTTACAAAGTCTTCTACCATATCATGAAAAATGGCCATCATACACCTTTGAAAAGTCACTGGTGCATTGCAAAGTCCGAATGGTATGTGTTTGAAAGCATAGGTACCATAAGGACAAGTGAACGTGGTTTTTTCCTGATCCTTGGGTGCAACCAAGATCTGGTTGTAACCGGAATACCCATCTAAGAAACAATAGTACTCCTGCCCTGCTAGTCGGTCAAGTATCCGATCAATGAAGGGAACCAGGTAGTGATCTTTCTGGGTGGCATCATAAGTTTCTGGTAATCCATACAAATTCTCCAACCGGTCACTGTTTTAGTAGGAATCAACTCATTATTTTCGTCTCTTACCACTGTCATACCTCCGTTCTTGGGAACACATTGCAAGGGACTTATCCACTTACTATCTGAGATTGGGTACACAATTCCAACATCTAGCCACTTTATTACTTCCTTTCCTACCACTTCTTTCATCAAATGATTTAGCCGACGTTGATGTTGTGCACTTGGTTTGTGATCATCTTCTATGTAGATTATGTGCATACATAACGCAGGACTAATCCCATGAATATCAACCATCTGCCATCCAATCGCTTTCTTTCTCCGCTTTAAGATCCTCAATGCCGCATCAGTAATTCAGACAATTCTGCAGAAAGAATAACATGCAAAGTTTCATTCACCCAAATAAGCATACCTTAGGTGAGACGACAAAGTTTTTAGTTCCACCTTGGATGCTTCTTCTATTAATGGCTTTGGTGGGGGGCCTAACTCACGATCTAGTGACTCTGCTCGAAGCTTACGAGTGTCAACAAGTGCTAGATTCAAACATGATTCTATCTCTTGAGCCTCAGTATCTCTATCCACCTTATGACCTACTAAAACTCTCTCTAAGGAATCTTCGGCACAACTACTTATGATTCTACTATGTGATCAATCACAGTAATAACAGACAACTCTTCATAGATAGAAGGCAATTTTAAAGTGCGATAAACATCGAATACCTCTACCTAATCATGTGCCCTCATAGTTAATTGACCAGCTGCTATATCAATCAATGCCCTACCGTGACCAAGAACGGACGTCCCAAAATAAATGGAACTTCAGAATCGGGTTCAAAATCTAAGACCACAAAATCCACCGGAAAAATCAAGGAACCTACTTGCACTAACACATCTTCTACCACCCCCTCTGGCCTAGCAATAGATCTATCAGCGAGTTGGAGAATAACAGTGGTTCGTTTTGGACTACCCAACCTAAGATTTTGATACAATGATAAGGGCATCAGATTTATACTTGCCCCCAAATCACACAACCCGCGGGCATGGACACTTTGCCCAATTGTAATCTGCACAATAAAACTACCCGAATCTTTTAACTCTTTGGGTAGTCTATTTTGAATTCTAGAGCTGCACTCCTCAGTAAGTGCTACAGTTTCATACTCCGTGAACCTCCTCTTGCTAGCCACAATGTCCTTCATGTATTTAGCATACTTCGGAATACCCTGCAAAATGTCAACCAAAGGCAAATTAATATGAACCTGTTTAAGGAGGGAGAGAAACTTACCGAAACATTCATCCTCATTCTTCTTTTTGAGCCTTTGTGGAAACAAAGGTGGTAATTTCTTTTGAGGAACGGGTACCTTAACATTTGAGCTTTTTACTACCTTTTCCACTTTCTTTTCTTTGGTACTTGCCTCAGTATCTCTCTTCTTTGGAGCTTGTTCCTCTAATTGTAACCCACTTCTAGTACTTACCGCGTGTAGTTGCTTTAGGTTGGGTTCAGTATCACTGAGCAGCCCACCTTGGGGACGCAAGTTCAGAGAATTAACTACTTGCGCAACTTGTTTCTTTAAACTCATTTGGGACATTTGGATGTTTCTGATGTTCTCATCCTGCTTATCTATTCTAGCATTTAGTTTGGTCCCTATTTCAGTTATGAGCTTTTGGAGTAGCTCTTCATTGGTCATCCCCTCTTTTGGTGCACTAGGATTTGCGCCTTGGTTAGGATTTTGGTATTGTTGCCCAGCCCCTTGAGAACGGTATTAGTTAGCCCCTTGCGCCTGATTTTGGTTTTGGTTCCCACCTCATGAGAAGTTAGGATGGTTCCTCCAACTAGGGTTGTATGTGTTACTATAATTTTGCTGACCTTTACCCCTTTGCGCATTACCCACATAGTTTACGGAATTCAGGTTTACCTCACATTGCTTGATTTCATGAGCTCCACTACACAAACCTCACACCAATTGGCTGCGTGTTAACACAACGTTTATCGGTGCATGATTTAGAGCCATATGTTTAAAATGTAAGGCTATGTTATGTTGCATAGCATCTAATTTGGCATTTATGGCAGTAACTTGATCTACATCTAAGGTCCCTGCGGCCTTTTGGGTTGTGGTTCTCGGCATTTCCCCCTCATATCCTGGGTTTCCTTTAGAGAGTCTATTGAGTAAGTCAAACAACTCTTCACATGTTTTTGCTAGGGTCTGTCCACCTGCTGCACTATTAAGAAGTACACGAGCATTATAATCTAAACCCTCAAAGAAAGTGTGAGCAAATACCTCATTAGTTTGCATGTGGTGCGGGCAAGCATTCAACATTTGTTTGAAACAAGCCCATGCTTGGTACATGTCCTCCCCTTGATTTTGCCTAAAGCATAATATCTCACTCCTCAACCGTGCGATTTTCTTGGATGGAAAGAAACGACTCAAGAACTTTCTTGCTAGGTGATCCCAGGTAGTGATGGAGTTTGGTGGTTCAGTATCTAACCAATGCTTTGCAGCTCCTAACAACGAGTATGGAAACAACGTCAGCCTCACATAGTCCGATGAGACTCCAGTTGGGATGTATGTCAATGATCTCTATAAAGTTCCTAAGGTGGATTTGAGGATCCTCGTGAGGGAGATCAGTGAATTGCCCATTAGAATGAAGAAGTTGTACCATGCCTTGTTTTAGTTCAAATCTACCCCCGGTGAAGGTTTCCTAATACTAGATGCCACATTAGCTGTGAGTGGGACTGCCACATCACGGACTAGTCTTGCAGGTACTATAGGGGGTACCGCTTAGTTGTTCAAGTTCCCGGGGTTATTCACATTGTCTTGATTATTGTTCTCATTGTCTTCTTGAAGACCTAGCCCCAATTCTCCATGTCGTCCTTGATTAGCCATTTTCCTGCGCTGGCGTAAGACTCTTTCGGGTTCGTTGTAAGGTTCGACAAGTTCTCCCTTTCGAGCCAGACCTGAAAGTCAATTGTCTGCAATATACAAGCTAAGATCAAGTAATTAATACTTGAATATTCTATTTGTAGACTTAATAGGATCGAATATAAATCAATTTCTAAGTCCCCGGCAGTGGTGCCAAAAACTTGTTGCTCCTAATTGCACGCACAAGTGTACGTGGTCGCGCAAATAGCATAGTGGCTCTTAAAAGAACCAGATTATCGAATCCAAAGGACTTGTCAATTAACTATTTACTAAATTATACTAGTCTAATTATTTATTTAAGAGTGCTAAAAGAGTTTGACTTTTTATTTATAAAGAAAAGAACGTAGGAATTAAATAATAAGATTACTTACAGTGATTGGGCAAATTCCAGGAATGCAACATGCAATGAATCTCATGTATCATATTCTTGGCTTAGAACTAATTTTAGTTGTCAAGTTACTGATTTATAGGCTTAATTGTATGAGTCAGGCTACACACCTCTCATTGCCTACTCCAGTTAGTTTTCTAATTACATCGTTGAGCGGGGATAAATAGACTAACTAGCGAGAATTTATATTTCATCTTATTTTGTAACCAAGCAAGTTGTTCGTCCGGGTGTCACTCCTGAACACTAATCACCTCAATCAAATGGGTCGACCGAGCTCTCTATATTCTCTGGTCTATCTAACCCCTCCTCTCTCGATTTTAAGATTAGACAATAGATTTATCTTATGGTGCGCAAGCATAAAATACTAAAACAAGAATATAGAAGTAACTTATAATGACAACCAAGAATTAATTCATAAAACTTAAATATTCAATATTTGATTCGTAGCTACAGCCCCAGAACAAGGGCGTTTCTCCACTAATCTCTAGGAAAAGAAAGAAAAAGAAAATAACCCTAAAAAATATTGACAACTTTTTCTTGTAAAGTACCTCCTTATTGATCTCCTCTAATAATTATTTTTATGAACTATTTATAGATGTAGAAAATCTTAAATAAAATAATTGATTCCAAAATAAACTAGAAAATCAAAACCAAACGGAATTTGAATTCCTAATTCTACGCATATTCGGTAACCGCCTCAGCCGCTGCTTCAAACAATCTGAAAGTGTCTTCCACTGCTGCCACGTGGAAGCATTCTCTTTTTCAATTGAACTTTGCAACTTTATATTTTATACATTATTATATTGAATTTAATTCATTAAGTTGTCTGTTTGATTTCCTTCTATAATCTTTCATTTTTAATTCGTTTTAGCTTCAAACTTTTTCAACTTTACACCAATTTACTCCTACAAATAAAATATACTATTTAACACAATTCATAAAATTCATGCTCAAAAAGGACAAATATAAATAATAAATATGAAATAAATAATGATTAAAAATATGTATTTTTGGCCTCACATTATCTATCTCTATTTAAGGTGTCCAATTCACTTGATAATAGCTCGAGGATGATTGAGCTAGAATAGTTGATTGAAGATATGACAAAATTTAATGTTAAGCTTATTGGTGATTATGTCACTTGTAGGCTCTTTATTAGTCCATTATGTGAGGTTGGCAAATGAACGAGTTAGCATGGCTTAGTATTATAAGTTTTATTTGACGTATGAACTTTTGTTTTATCGGAGAATTAAAACAAACTTAACATTTCAAAGTTCGAAAGTTGTCACACCCTCGTGTGACTTGTATTGTTTCATTTGACTGTGCTGGTTCTAAATAAAAATGCTTGATGCAGAGAGAGTGATCCTGTTCAACAGTTGTTCAATGAAATAAATGATGTATTTTTTTTCTCTTCCTGCAATATGTTATGTCAATCATACTAAACTATGCTCCTTTTATCTTTAACGTATCTGGTAAAGTTGTTGTTACGTGTTCTGCTGGTCATGATTTGAAAAATCATTATTTAACTTAAACCAAGTCCTTGTACAACACAAATGTTAAACTAATGGATCATGTTAGACCATTGAGATTATAAAACTAAGCTCATTTAGTAAAGACAAAGGGAGTAATGTCATAATGGCCTACTATTATGTTTGTTTCTGTACTTACCTTGTTTGTTTCAAAATACAACGAAATACGTACAGATATACTTTGTAAGACTTCTCTAAACCATCTTTCATTTTCATCAGATCTGTTTACTTTTCATTTCATCAGTTTCTCCGTTTTCAGAATGATGCTTTAGTTGCTGATATCGTCCCCTCAAGTACCGTTCTTCTTTATCTCTCTCCTTTGCCTTTACGTAAATGTACGATTTCTGTTTTGAGTGTGGTGTGATTACAGAAAATGAAGATATGCATAAAATAGAAGAAAAGCAGTGCATTCAACTACTTGCTAAAGTCGGTGCTGTATGTTGTACACTCGCGATGAATGAATTATTGCAAGAAGAAGATGGAGAAGAGAATTGGGAAGCTGCTTTTGACAAAGTCATATCTTTCTGGTTTCGCCTTTTGGGGAATGATATATACCTACTATGGACACAAGTGGTTGGATTATCCCCTTTCTGCTTGTGCAATGCACAACTGCAGTTTTTATGGTAAGGCCTTCTCTCGATATTCATGTCTGACATTGACAAGCTTCCATCAAAGACACACTGAAGCATCATTGCAGCTGCTACAGTGGCCATTCTCTTCTCTCTCTTCTTTCTTTAGTGATGCAATGTGGTTTTGTATGAAGTAAGTGTAATCATATGTGTTTGAGGATTTATATAGAGATAGTAGTAAGTACTGAGTTATGTGCCCAGCTTAGGGAGTTTGATAGCATCAAGGATGAAAAAAAGGATCAACAAATTCTTGTGTATTATGTTATTACCGTACTATCAATGAAACTGGCGTTTTTTCCTATGATCTATTTTTGTCTTGGCTGCAGTCTTTGCTTATTATGTCTGCACATGCTGTTTTGTTCTTTATATGTACGTACTTCTGCGTGTTCGTTTTATGTAAGATACTTATATTATTATATACTGGTGTTTGATAGTTTTATCTCTTGAAACTTGTTTAAGAATGATACAGTATTTTCCAGTTTATTCTGCATATTGTCATTTTTACATTTTCAATACTCTCTTTCTATTTGAATGGTTACATGGCTAATGTTATATTCCCTCCTAATATAATCAACCACTTTATCCAGCACCATGTCAGCATCAGGTTTAATATTGACATGACAAGCCAAGAGTACTTTTCCGACTGTAATCGCCCATATGTGCAATTCATGGATTGCAGCAACCTCCTCCATCTCACAAAGCCCCTTCTCAAGTGTTGTTGCATCAATTTCTCTCGGTGTGCTCTCCATTAATACTTCAAGAATATTCCGAATCATCTTAATAGTTGTGGCAAGAACAATGACGGAGAAAATGAGTGTGCAAATTAGATCAATGATTTTCCACTCTGGTTTATACCATATAATAGCTCCTCCAATCATGACCCCTATGCTCTGAATACAATCTCCTAATACATGAAGATAAGCCCCCTGCACATTAATATTCCACTGCTTCTTTTTCTTTTCACCTTCACTCTCACAGGAATCTTTAAGTAGAGGCACAGCAGTGTGATGATCAGCGTTATGTGCTTGGTTCGAAGGTCCCTCATTATGGTGATGGTGCCGGCTAACACTTATTCCATGTATATCATGTGTATGCTCTTTGTGATTATGGCCGTGGACGTCATGATGACCTAACAAGAATGCCATGATGAGGTTCACTCCTAATCCAAATGCAGACACGATAAACATGAGGAAGCCTTGAACTTCACCGGTATCATGTATAAGACGAGCAATGGCTTCATAAACAAGGATACCAGCTAGAAGCCATATCATTTGGATAGAAACTAATGCACCAAGTATCTCAATTCTGAAAAAACCATACGACTGGCGTGGATTAGCTTCCCATCCTGATGCCCAAAGTGAAAACAAGGATATTGCAAAAGCTGCAACATCTGATAGTAGATGAGCTGCATCTGTCAAAATTGCAAGACTGTTGGCTTTAATGCCTCCGACAACCTCGACAGCCATAAAAATGATGCAAAGGACAACTGCAACGCACAGTTTCCTCATCGATGCTGATCTCTCCTGTGCATCCTTCGACATGGTATTAACATCAGAGAATCCACACAGTGCTGAACCACAGATTTTACCATGTACCTCAACTACATGTCCATATTGTTCCGCGTTCTGCGTATCCATCTAAAAAACAGATTTTTAAAAATGCCAATCAATAACAAGACAAATGAGTCTAACTGTCTCATGCATATTCTAAATTGATCCTGATGAGCCCAGATAGAGTTAGTATATAGTACTGTCTTTATACATAAAAGGAGAAACTATATAATTAGATATACTCCATTACCATATATAGTATTACCTGTACTTTCAAAATATTACGTATCTTACCACTAATTAAGAGTTTCTTATCATATATTGAGGAACATATACCTAGATACATGTATTTTTGCTACCAAATATATTAAAATAGGGAGAGAGGCGAGTGAGATTTGTTATGTATCCCAGATACCTGTATCTACTGTGTATCTAGTATGATTCACATGTATCTAAGATAACAGATACATAGGAGGTAGGCGAGAGATTTGTTATGTATGAATCTGGACGCATCAAAATCTGGTAAAATTTGTAATATTGCAAACTAGAATGTATGTAAATAAGTAACTCCTAAACTAGTGAAATTTATGTAGGTTTCCCTACATAAATGACAAACACAAGAACAAGTGCAAACAAATTCAAAGAGATATGGATTCAAAGGGATACCTTGCAAAACCGAGCTGAGACCTTTTTTTTAGCCCTTCCAGGAGGTTTCACTTTTTTACTTCCTTGGTGATTCGAACTCACAATCTTAAGATTGGAAGCGACGGGTGCTTATCAACCAAACAACTTCCTTTTGTCCGAGCTGAGATTTCAAAAGGGTTATGCTATATATAGGAATAAAATGAGGTATATATATATACCCTATGGGAAGGAAGAAAAAAAAAAGGGAGATGCAAAATTCCACTTTTCCAAAAAATTCAACTGAGTATATTTATATTATATTTTATAATACCTATCTCATAAGAGGGAGTTTACATGCCAAAGCAAGCAGTAGGTCAACATGTCTACTTTGGCATATAGGGGCATTTTGGTTATTTTTCGTGGTTACTTGTTTTGATTCGTCTGTTTTATTTGTTTTAATCTATTATATTATTAAAACTTACGTAACAATTTAAAAGACATATAAACAATTCGGTTGACTCTTAGACTTCTATCAATGCCACATAAATTGAGACAAATAAAGTAACATGTATTAGTTGAAAATGACGTAAAAGATACTATAAATTCCAATTATTAACAACTGGAAATATCAGCCACTAAAGCATTTTTCTGAAAACGGAGAAACCGATGAAATGAAAAGTAAACAGATCTGATGAAAGTGACAGATGATTTAGAAAAGTGTTACAAAGTATATATGTTCTTAAATATTTCCTTGTATTTTGTGAGTCGTGACAGGCAAGGTAAGTACAGAAACAAATTAACATAATATAGTAGGCAATTTGTGACAGTATATTCCCATTGTCTTAATTACTGAATGAGCTTAGTTTTATAATCTCAATGGCCTAAAATGATCATTTTTTTTAACATTTGTGTCCTACAAGGACTTACTTTAGTCTAAATTGATGCATTATTTTAACACTTGTAGGGCTAGTTGAGCATTTTATCTTCTGGTGCAAAATCAAAGCAGAAAAAGTTCAGTTTCTGCCTTAGATGTGTATGCTAAGTAAGATGGATATGCGGTTATACAAGATTAGACAGTAGTAAACTTGAAAGTGATCACATTCGATACAAGGTGCAAATAGAGCAAATGAGAGGAAGTTGTTTGAGAGCGGGTTTAGTCATGCATATCCTATATCAAGGAGACAAGGTTGACATAAAACAATATGGTAGGGAGTTGTCTCGAAAGACCTATAGTTTCTTGGAATCCATGCAAATCTAGTCCATGATCATCGTTACTTTAAGGTCCGGAAATGAACAAGGCAGCATGACTTAGCTTTACAATTCTTTTGTTTGACATAATTAATCAGAGTTATTTTACATTGAATAGTACTGATGCTAGTACTATATATGCTCCTTTTCTCAGTTTGATTGTCCCGGAATGATAAGATTTTTCATGCTTCTGCTAAATATGAACGTGACATTTCCATCTCGACTGTTTTCTGGTATTAGTTCTAACATATATTTTAAAGAACAGTAGATTACATGTTATAAAACCATTTGGATTCCTTGAAACTGTCTAATTGTGAATTCTTTGTTTAAAAGTAGTAAGAATGATACAGTATGTGCCAGTTTGTTCTGCATATCTTCATATTTTACATTTTCTTTTATACTCAAACACAGATAATACATTTTCTTAAAGGCAAAGAAGGATCAGAAGAACACAAAGGAGAGAAAAACAAGAAAACTTGAGGGAATGATATCAGCAACTAAAGCATTTTTCTCAAAACGGAGAAACTGATGAAATGAAAAGTACTAAACAGATGTGATGAAAGTGACAGATGGTTTAGAATAATCTTACAAAGTATGTGTGTACATATTTCCTTGTATTTTGTGACAGGCAAGGTAAGTGCAGTAACAAACATAATAGTAGTCCATTTGTGGACATTATTCCCTTTGTTCTTTACTGAATGAGTTTAGTTTTATAATCTCAATGGTCCAAAAATGATGCATTATTTTAACATTTGTGTCATAAAAGGACTTAGTTAGGTCTAAAATGATGCATTGGGAGTCATCTTTTTTCTACGATGTTCGAGTTTTTTGTCTCTCAGAGGGAGGGTGAAATGAGATCTTCTTGGTACACAAACAATTACCAGAATGTACAAAAATTGGGGATGTATAAGAAGAAAAGCAGAACACTCAATTCTTTGCCAAACTCATCTGACTAGGAAATAGCCAAAATCTATCATGAACTATTTGGTAAGCTCAATGTCATATGCTGTACACTCGTGACTGATGAATTATTGCACGAAGAGGATGGAGAAGCTGCTATTGACAAAGTCATATCTTTCCGGTTTTGCCTTTTGGGGAATGATATATTCCTACCATGGACACAAGTGTTTGGCTGTGATATATCCCCCTTCTGTTTATGCAATGCACAACTGCAGTTTTAATCGTAAGGTTGTCTCTCGATATTCATGTCTGACATCGACAAGCTTCCATCAAAGACACACTGAAGCATCATTTCAGTGGCCATTCTCTTCTCTCCCCTGATGCAATGTTTCGGAATGTTCAAGCAGTCGTTAAAATTCTATATCTCTGTTTAAGGTTTTATATAGAGATCATATTAAGCATTGAGTTATGTGCTCAGCTTAGGGAATTTGGTAGAAACTAGGGTGAAAAGGATTCGCTAGAATTCAAAAAGTTCTTGTGCGTGTTATTAACGTACTATCAATGAAACTGGTGTTTTTTCCTATGATTTATTTTTGTCTGCAGATGCCGGTCTTTTATATATATGTATTCATGCGTGTTCGTTAAATGTAAGATACTTATATTCTTTTATCGTCTTATTTACTCAAACTATACGTTTTATTTAGTTACAAGTGTGCTGATCAGTGAACTAAGTAGACTCTCTATTTGGCTCTTATTTTAGTTTCCATTTCTGGCCTGCTAATGTTTATAAAGTTGTACTTTTGTGTCTGTTTTTATTGAATCATTTATGTATTTTAATGGCATATTTAGTTTTGGTTAGCTTAGTTATTCTAGGTTTGTACTTTGTATATTGTGGTATCTTGACTTAGCTATTATTATTTTTCTAGGTGATGTTTTCTAATATGCTCTTGTTCTTAAAACTTGGATATGTATGGCCATTGATGTTTGACATCAATTTATAGGAGATTCTTTTGTCCTAATTTCATATGAAAATACTGTAATCCGTGGACGAATCTAGTGTATATGAGTGTATAAACACCTCTTATAATTTTGTTTAATATTTGTATATTAAGTGCATAATATTCTATATCAAGTTTTTAAATATTGTTGTAAAAAAAATAATGTTATTTATAATATCGTATATAGAGATTTTAACCATTGCTGTAAGAAAATAATGAGCTACGCGACTGAAAGCTTAAGAACTGGCTACCTAAGTGCAAAGTAGTATTGTGGGCTGTACTTTTTCGCTAATATCCCAAAATATAGGAAAAAGGAAAAAATATAGAGCAATTTTCACATTTAGCAAACATAAAAATCACATTTGTATGTTATAGCAATAGTTTGCATAATTGCGCTCCATAGCAAATTTTATATTTGCTATGGAGCTTTTGATTTGTATAATTCGCTAGATACATCCAATTTTATACAAATTGTTCAGTTTTGTATAAATTCATGTATACATTGTAATTTGTATAATAAGATTTGTATTTGTATAATTATAAGTGTATATGACAAAAATATATGCATTTAGATTTGTATATACACTTTTCTCTCGCTTTATACAAACACAAACACATTTTATACATTTGTTTACCGAATGGGTAATTGTATATCAAAAATGACTAATTGTATATCAAAAATGACTAATTGTATACCGAACCAGATGGCAAAAAAATGGGATGTTTGCTGCGAATTACAAATAAAATACACTATGACTATAATATTTAATTTGAATTAATAGTTTGCTATTTCATACAATTTTCCCAAAAATAGAGCCCTAATTTTTGTGATTTAGAGTAGATATATCCCTTATTAAAAGGGTGGTGCATATATGGCTCATCGTCTAATAAATAATGCATATTTACTCTTTTCGTTAATATACCTATATTTACCGAATTTATAAATATATTTTGAAATTGATTTTTAATTTCAAAAATATCATGTGGCTTCAAAAAATTATCTGACACTTTTGGAGGGATTAAATAAAACTGTGAGGTAATTTTTTAAAATCACGTGATATTTTTGGAATAAACAAACCAATTTTAAGATATTCTTGGAATAAACAAACCATTTGTTAGACAATGATAGCACCATTAAACGAGGGATATATCTATTCTAAACTGCAAAATCAGCTTATCCAAAATACATTGCAAAATAATGAAAACTCACTTCAAAATTAATTGTTTGGATTGACTTTTAGCTTATGATTTATAAGTCAAAAGTGTTAAAGTTGGAAATTCTAACTTGTGCTTCTTCTTTTTGTTGTTTTTCTTACTGAAAAATAAGTGTTTATAATTACTTTTCTATTTTACACAAATATTACTAGACTGTTTAAAAATTATTTTGACTTAAAAGTACAAAAAAAAAAAAAAACAAATACAAATATGCTCTAACAACCAGGTTGGCTTATAACTTATAAATCAAAAATCACAAGTTACTAAATTCATCTTATTCAAACATTATAACAATATTTCAAAACACCTAAAATAAGTTGATTCAAATGGACTCCACATTAAGTGATTATTAAACTGAAATCAAATCTTAGCTTTTGAAATTAAAAAGAACACGCGTCAACAATCTAAATAGGCATTGACATATGCTGAGTTGAGTTGAACCCAATAGAGGAAGGTAAACAGAGACCCAGCAGCAAAGACCAAAAAGAGCACAACAAATTTGCTCCAACATTTGTGAGAAGATGATACACGATTTTCTATGGGAAGAGAATTACAAGGTAATTTTTTTTAACATCTACTATAGTCTATAGTGTTAGGGTTTTATTCTGATTTTCTTTCCTTGTTTGAAATTTATTTTTTTCTTAAAGAAAAGTCAAAGTATTACCATAAATGTTTTAACTTTTCGTGAAAGGTAAATATAACATTCTTTCATATTTAGTTTATTCTTTCCTTTTACGAAAAAGTTTTAGAGTAGTAGTTCTTTTCTAGTAGGAAAGGTTTTAAGATTCTATAAATATAAATTTGTTTCTTCTAACACAATAACATCCACAATGTAGTCGTTTAAGAGTCTTGTTTATGTAGAAATTTATTCTCTCTAAAGTTTCAATATTTTTTTTATATTAGTTTTGATATAATAATATTTTGATTTTTAGTATAAGTTTTTGTTATCTGATTTATCAACTATATGATTTGCAAATTGTAAGTTTCCGCATGACGTCCTAATCACCTTTCATAACCCAACATATGGTACTTTACTCCGTTTCAATTTGTTTAACCTATTTTTATTTGAGACATAGTTTAAGAAAGTAAAAGATACTTTGCACCAAGACATAGTTGTCAATAAAGTAGTTGAGAACTTTGGGTCTGAGGTTCAAAACTTGGAGGAGACCAAAAAAATCACTAGGCGATTCTTCTCCATCCGTGTTAGCCTTAGTACACAGTGTTATTTGGTATCTGTTGTTGGTGGTAGGTATCCCTTGGAATTAGTCAAGGTGCACGAAAGCTAATTCGAACACTACTGTAAAAAAAAAAGTAAAAAAAGTTACCTGGTACTTGTTGTTGTTCTGTGAGGTGCGCTACCAGGATCATTAAAAAAAAAGAAGTAAAAAACACTTTAATATTGTGGTCTTAAACAAATTAGGTAGAAAATTGAAATTAATGAGTTGCTAAAGAAGAAAAAGAAAGTAGGCCAAACCAATCGAAACGAAGGGTGAATATTTCCATAGTCATTAGTCATTACTGGTAATGGTGAGGATTAGCTGTTGCAATTGTAAAGGCCATAAGTGTCAATCAAGTGGGTGGGGAACCTAAGGTCTCTTTCAAATTCCACCTAATTCACAAAGTCTTGATGGGCATAATCCAATTAAACTCAGAGATTAAGAAGCTTCACAGAAATGTCCTAGTACTTGCTTTTGGGGTAGAACTGTAGAAGGTTAAGAGAAATTTCCTAATATTATAAGTTGACTAGATCCAATGTGCATAGAACTTTTGATATTTGAAGTGGTACTTATTTATTTTCTCTTTTCTGTATATAACTTTATCCAAAATATCATCAATTGATCTCTTGCCACAACCATACAATTTATTTTTCTTTTTAGACAAATTAACTGAATCCATGGCATCATCTTCACAGTACTGTCCTCGATGGAAGTACGATGTCTTCCTAAGTTTTAGAGGTGAAGATACTCGAAAAACATTTACGAGTCACTTGTACGAAGGTTTGAGTAATAGGGGAATATTTACCTTTCAAGATGATAAAAGGCTAGAGCATGGTGATTTGATCCCACAAGAACTCTTGAAAGCTATCATAGAGTCTCAAGTTGCTCTTGTTGTTTTCTCAAAGAATTATGCTACATCGCGGTGGTGCTTGAATGAAATAGAGAAGATCATGGAATGCAAGAGCGAAAATGGACAAATGGTCATACCGGTCTTCTATGATGTGGATCCATCACACGTTCGAAACCAGACCGAGAGCTTTGCAGAAGCATTTGCCGAACACGAAATAAAGTATAAGGATGATGTTGAGGGGATGCAGAAGGTGCAAGGATGGAGGACTGTCCTAACTGCTGCTGCAAATCTAAAAGGATACGATATCCGTGACGGGTGAGTTAAATACACATCACTGCTTTAATGGAAAAAAGAAATGGAATAATTTTCCTATTTTATATCCTAATGGACATTAACAATATGAAATACTTACTAATACTTGATTTCTCACATCTTCCACAATCAATTTCTTATTTATGTAGGATTGATTGTCAATTACATCTCTTCTAAATTATGCAAGATTGCTTATTCTTCATCTTCTTTGCAAGATATTGTGGGAATAAATGCTCATTTAGAGAAAGTTAAGTCCCTACTTAAGATAGAAATAGATGATGTTCGGATGGTAGGGATATGGGGAATAGGCGGAGTCGGTAAAACAACGATAGCAAAAGCCATCTTTGATACTCTATCTTATCAATTTGAAGCTGCTTGTTTTCTTGAGGATGTTAAAGAAAATGCAACAAAGAGTCACCTGCATTCTTTACAAAATACCCTTCTATCTGAGCTGTTAAGACAAAAATATGATTATGCCAATAATAAGTACGACGGGAAGGGACAGATTTCGTACAGGCTTTTGTCAAAGAAGGTGCTAATTGTTCTTGATGACATAGATCATAGTGATCATTTGGAGTATTTAGCAGGTGATCTTGGTTGGTTTGGTAATGGCAGCAGAGTTGTTGTAACAACTAGAAATAGACACTTGATAGAGAAGGATGATGCAATATACGAAGTTCCTACACTACCTGATCATGAATCTATGGAATTGTTCAATCAGCATGCTTTCAAAAAAGAAGTTCCGGATGAGCGTTTTAAGAACTTCTCGTTAGAGGTAGTGAATCATGCTAAAGGTCTTCCTTTAGCCCTCAAGGTATGGGGTTCTTTATTGCATAAGAAAAACCTGACTCAGTGGAGAAGCACTGTAGACCAAATAAAGAAAAACTCTAGTTCAGAAATTGTTAAAAAGCTCAAGATAAGTTATGACGGGTTGGAGCCCGAAGAGCAAAAGATATTTCTAGTTATGGCATGTTTCTTCCGAGGAGATGAAAAAAAAGTAGTCATTGAAATCCTTGAAAGTTGTGATTTTGGAGCTGAATACGGATTGGATGTCCTGATTGACAAATCTCTTGTGTTCATTTCCAAAAATGATAGGATTGAAATGCATGACTTAATTCAAGATATGGGCAGATATGTGGTGAAAATGCAAAAAGATTCGGGAAAACAGAGCAGACTTTGGGATGCTGAAGATTTCGAAGAGGTGATGGTCAATAATACAGTAAGTAGGCTTCAATTTCTGGTCTTCAAGTCCAATTATTTGTTCCTCTTGCTTCATATCTTGCAAGTGCACCATTTTAGTTATTTACTTTAATAGGTGAAGCAATTAAGCAAAAGTAACATTTATTGCCTATTGGTACCGTTTCAATTACAATTCCATTCTATCACAACATGAATTTTTTCCGACTCGACTCTAAAGAACTTCTCTAAAAGTTTAAATTATAAAATAGAATTGTAGAATGAATTGCATAAAGCATTTCCCTTAAGCGATATATTTTTTTTTGCTAGCTCTTCAAGAACCTCAAGTGCAATAGTGAAAAATATAAAACATGATGATATTTGGCATTGCAAGGAGTGAGAAAGTAGTCGTACTGGTATGCAGATTTTATACAGAGTTTGAAGTTTTACTTTGTAGACTAATGATCCTTTTATCAGGGGACAAAATCTATGGAAGCAATCTGGTTACAACATATTCAAAAGCTACGCCTTAGCAAAAAAGCCATGAAAAAAATGATAAGGCTAAGAATATTATACATCGGTCATTTTGCACCTGACCAACAGCTCGTGTTAGCAAATGATGACTCCATTGAGTACCTGCCCAACAGCTTGTGTTGGTTTGATTGGCATGGATATCCTTGGGAATCATTGCCAGAAAATTTTGAACCTAAAGGACTTGTTCATCTTGATCTCCAGTACAGTTTTTTGCATCATTTATGGATTGGAACAAAGGTACAATTGCTGAATTCAATTTATTTTTCTTTTGGTCAAATACACACATAGACACTCAAAACTGACTACAACTGTCAGATAGACATCTTAACTATTCTAGTGACCATAGATGCTTGGTTGTTCCTGTTTTCCTATCTCATTCTTTCTGTGTTCTGAACATATAACAGCATTTGCCGTTTCTACGAAAGCTAAATCTCAGCTTTTCTGGAAGCCTGATGCGAACACCAGATTTCACGGGGATGCCAAATTTGGAGTATTTGAATCTGGTGGAATGTACGAGTCTTGAAGAGGTTCACCATTCCCTGGGATGTTGCAGTAAACTCATTGAGTTAGATTTGGATGGTTGTAAAAGCCTTAAGAAGTTTCCATGTGTTTATGTGGAGTCGCTTGAATCTCTGTACCTATATGGTTGCTCTAGTTTAGCGAAATTTCCAGAAATCCTCGGAAGAATGAAGCCGGGGTTAGAAATTAAGGTGGAGCGTTCTGGGATAAGGGAACTACCATCATCTATTCAGTACCTAACTCATATTACCAAGCTAGATTTGAGTTCTCTGGAAAACCTTGTAGCTCTTCCGAGCAGCATTTGTAAGTTGAAAGGTTTGATGGAGCTAAATGTGTCATACTGCTTAAAACTTGAAAGCTTGCCAGAAGAGATAGGTGATTTAGAAAACTTGAAGGATCTTCGTGCCACATCCACTCTAATTTCACGACCTCCGTCTTCCATTGTCCGCTTGAACAAGCTTAAATTCTTGACTTTTGAAAAAGAAGACACAGAATTAGGCCTCAAAGATGGAGTTTTCTTTGTGTTCCCTCAGGTGAATGAAGGATTAAGCTTATTGGATTTTCTGCGTCTCGATTACTGCAATCTAATTGATGGAGGACTTCCGGAAGACATTGGATGCTTATCCTCTTTGAAAATGTTGAATCTCAGTGGAAATAACTTTAAACATTTGCCTCGAAGCATAGCCCAACTTGGTGCTCTTCAATCCTTGGACTTATCATATTGCAAGAGGCTTAAAGAGTTGCCAGATTTTATGGAGATTTGGAATTTGAAGACTTTGAATTTGTCATATTGTAAAAATCTTGAAGAGGTTCATCATTCCGTAAGATTTCTCAAAAACCTCCATACATTAATATTGACTAATTGTATACAGCTTAAGAGGTTTCCAGGTCTGTGCATTGATTCTCTTCGGTACTTATGTCTACGGGGTTGCTCTAGTTTAGAAAAGTTTCCAAAATTCCTTAGAAACACGATAGTGGAGTCGGAGATTTACATGCTAGAAAATGTGATGAGGGAACTGGAATTTCCACTTTCCTTTTCTCAGGAAATCGATTCCTTGTCACAAAGAGTGTTTAGCATTGTGCTTGGTGGGAATGAGATTTCCTTGCAGCAAATCCCAAGTTGGTTCCACCATCGGGGAATGGATAAAAGTGTATCAGTCAATTTGCCTGAAAATTGGTACGTACCTGATAACTTCTTGGGATTCGCTGTATGTTACTCTGGCCACCTAGATGGTTACACAACAGCTCACTTGATTCCCTTATGTGATGATGATGGGATGTCATGGGAACTAGATTTTTTCTACCTTTCAAAAGGTAGAGATAGATCTACTGCTATTCATTTATTCTTGTTACCTCTCGCTAGCTTATGGGATACATCTAAGGCAAATGGAAAAACACCAAATGACTATGGGCTTATAAGGTTATGTTTTAATAGTAAAATCAAGTATGGATTTCGTCTGTTGTATAAAGATGACATAGAACTTGAGGCCTTGAATTGGGACAAGGATGAAAATAATGATGATCAACCAACAGAACATAGCATTGGGACCTATGTTGCTCGGACTCTTCAAAATTGTTGCCTCACCCGTCGACTTTTTTGATGAGTCCAACAAACATAGATTGGGACAAGGAGGAGCAGATATGACAGTAGTGAAAACCATGACTCCGTAACCAATTAGGTCACATTCTAGTATTCATGGGAGACACTTTGCAGCTCATTCTTCCAAATATAGGTAATATACTACTGATCCATGGGTTCAAAACTTCTTAATATATCAGAGGTAATCTCTTTTTTAATAACAACTATTTCTCTTGTTATGACAGGGAGGTCGGGGAAAAGATGGAACAATTGATGATGCAGCACAGTGTGAGACAGTGGAGGAAGCTGGAGTACGAGGTGAAGTTGAGGTTCGTTCTCCCTCGGTGATCTCTTTTTTTTTTATGCTAGGTGAAAAATAAGAAACAAAGTGTTTGTACTATCATCTGCCATTTGATAGTTAAACGAAAAAAGTTACATGGCAACTCTTTGCTCTGAAGACTGTGTCTGTACTATTGAATGATTAAATCTGATGTAGTGATCACGGTTTTTAAAATCTTACAATCTACTATCTTGTTGACATTGAATTGATAAGATTAATAACATCTACATTTAGACTACTTATAAGTGGTTCTAACAAGGATTAGGATTTTACATTTGCAGTGCAAACTGAGGAGAGGTGACACTGCCTATGCTTCCTCTGTTTGTAACAGAACGATTAGAGTCTTGGCCTGAGAAAGAGATTCACGAAAGAACTCAAGTATGCAATAATCCGTTAAATTTTGAAAAGTAAGGAAACTTAAACTAAAGATACATAGATCGAATGTATTAAAATGTTACTATAATTTTGTGGTCTTAATAATGTCATGTCGAAATTGAAATAAAGAGAGTAATAAATCCTTTTTTTTTAAACTGAGTATTGTGTAAACACATTAAATAAGGGATAAACCTCTATTATTTAATTTTCCAAAAGTTTAATTTGACTCTAATTTCCCGAAAGTTACAATAAAATCCCTCTAATTCCTGCCCAAGTCAATAATAAAATCCCTAAATTTAAGAGTTTTTTTGTTCTAATATAAATAAATATGATGGTGTCTTACTTCAATTGTATCACGATTAAATGTCACATCTTCTTGACGAAATCACTATGCTTATTCTCTCAAATTTACCCGTGAAATCTTTGTTATGATTCAAGTGTGTTTCTAAGTCATGGGGTTGTTGGATTTCAAGTCCAAATTTTCAGCTCTCAAATCAACAACGAGACGGAGTGATGATCATGTTTACAACACGTTCAACTAGGGGTAGATCATTCCAATTCATATATCAACAACTCACTTTTGAAGAACTTGATTACCCTTGCATGATGAGTTGGGATCATACCCAAAAATATTTTAGGTTGTTGGGGTCTTGTCATGGTCTCATATTAATACATGTAGACGAGCATATTTACTTGTGGAATCCTGCCATCCGATTTTGCACCAAAGTGCTTGAGCTTGACCGATTGAACGATAATGATTATTTTATAGTTGGTTTAGGAGTTTTAAATGAATGTCTTTGTATGACTCGATTAGATTATGATAAGAGCGGTGTTGAGATATTTGTCATGAAGGAATCATGGATATTCTTATATTTCATAAGGAATTTAGAAATAAATCCTTCTGGTGATTTTGTTGTGCCCTTTTTTGTGACAAAAATGGGAGAAATAGCTTTGAAAACAGAGATTGATTTTCATGATAAAGTTATCGTATACAATCCTAAGAATGATAATATGAGAGATATTCTCGTTATCGAGAAGGTGACGATGTGTTATTGCAGCCCCATCGTTAACTATATAGAAAGCTTGATCTCTCCGAAGGAATATTACTGGAGTGAGAAGTTGCACAAACAATTTGGAAAACCTATTTGGGAATAGGAATTTTAATTGATTTTCATTAGGGATCTTTTATTTTATTTTTCCTTCTTAATTTTTCTTTTTAATTCCACTTTTAAATTTGAAGTTTCTTTAGTCTATCTCTTGTTAATAGTCTCCTATGCATAGCAAGCCAAGATTGATACAATCCTCGATGTTTGATGTGTTATATCACTGAATTTATATCTTCTTTTTAATATGGGAAAAAGGACAAATATACCCTCGAACTATCAAAAATGGTATACAAATACCCTTCATTATACTATTGAGACACTAAAGCCCCTGCCGTCCAAAAAGTGGGACATCTATGCCCTTCACTCTAACGGAAGGACACGTGTCGTCATCCTATGCATCTACCCTTATTATTCACTAAATTATAAACCCACGACCCGAATTAAAAAGACCCACCCAAATAATCCCTAACCCACCCATTACTAACACCTAATAATATACCCAAACCAGCCAAAATACACGCCTTGATCCTCTGTTTTATTCTTCAAAAATCTCACACAATTTTGCCGACTACTCATTTTATTTCCTAAAAAAAAACCTAAAAACACAATCAACCCAAAATTGGTTTTGAAAGGAAGGGTAAGCATTTGATTTTGAATTCGAGTTCAAACATGAAGATGGGTGAAGAATAAGATATACAGGGGTGAATCTCGTGATGGAGTGGGATAGAACCTCGGATTTGAGTGGAGAAGAAGAAGATGACGTGATTGAGCAAGAAGTTGAGGACGAATTAGAGGATGGGGAGAAGCTAAGGTTTTAGAGAGCCAAATAATTTTAGCAGCCATGGTTGTTCTATCTAGGCTTCAAAGCTTAATCAATAAAACTTCACTCAAAACTCTCAATCACTGCCATCTTCTCCGCCCCGCCGCTGCCGATGAAGCTGATTTTATTTGAATATGTCCGAAAAAAATCTCACTCTCCCAATGAGTGTAACAAACGTACCGTCAACACATAACGACTATTCTTATGGAATAGTTTTCTGGTGCACCGTCCCAACAATACTCATCTTTCCAGAAAACTTCACACACAACATTCTCACCTCATACGCTCATCACTTTCAGCTCCGACGGACCACTCATCCCATACTTGCACAGGTGTTATCAGAAATCAAAGTACTTTGATGATGTGTATGGAAGCTGCGATGATTCTAATGAGGATGACGATGACTATGGCCGTCGTGGTGGCGGTCGCAGTGGTGGCTCCGTAGCGGTGCTTATACAGTGTGGAATTTGGACCCAAATATCACTTTAATTTTGCTTTACTATTTGGGTGGGTATGGTGAATAATAAGGGTAGATGCATAGGATGACGACACGTGTCCTTCCGTTAGAGTGAAGGGTATAAATATTCCACTTTTTGGATGGTAGGGGCTCTAGTGTCTCAATAGTATAACAAAGGGTATTTGTATACCATTTTTAATAGTTCGGGATATATTTATCCTTTTTCCTTTTTTATATTAATTGTCATATTTTTCTTTCATCGACCTTTTAAGAAAATCATAACAAGTTAACAACCTTAAGAGCAGGTGCTATAAACTTCAAGGAAGTGGCATTACAATAAAATTCCTAAACTTAAAAGAGTTATTGTTAATTACACTATATCTTTATTACGTTGAAATAACAACCTTCCCTAAACTATACAAAAAAATAAAATAAAAAAGATATTGTAAATTATTATTTACAAAAAATAGACCTGCAGAAATCAAGGAACTGAATTACAACAAAAATATAAATTTAAGCATATCAATTAACTACTGATATATTTTTTAGTTAAAATAACGAACTTTCCCGAAAAAAGTAATAGAAATGTGGTAAAGGTTAAAATAACGAAATTTTTTAAGTTGGAAAAAATTTAAAAGTTATATTATAAGGTAAAGGTCGAAAAATTAGACAATGATGAAAATAATGAATTGTGGGTGCGCGTTGCTTCTTTTAACCAACTCATATATTTTGATCTCAATTCTGAAAAGTTTTACTCCTATATGTTTCCAATCCCTAAGCCTAAATGTAATCTAAAAGAGAATGTTATAGTTGGTTTAGGAATTTTATTAGATGATAAGGGTGGTGCTGAGATATTGATCATGAAGGAATACAGAGTAAAAAAATCGTGGACATCTTTATTTTTCTAAAGAATTTAAAAATAAATTCTTGGTACGAATTTGCAGTGCCTTTTTTCGTGATAAAAACAGGAGAAATAGTTTTCCTAAGATATTATTATAACCGAAAACATAGTTGTATATTCTTGGTACGAATTTGCAATGCCCTTTTTCGTGACAAAAACAGGAGAAATAATTTTCATAAGATATTATTATGACGAAAATTTAGTTGTATACCATCTAAAAAATTGGAGAGAAATTGTTTTATTAGTTTTCTTGTTTGAAACTTATATTTGTTTTCCTTCTTCATATGTTCTTGTGTATGTAGTAATAACCTAATTGGGTGTCTTTTTTTTTATAATGTCAATCTTTTTTATTTATTTATTTTCTAACTTAATTTCTATTTTATAAGGAAGGTTGTTATTGTAACTAATAAGGATATAACTACATAATTGATATGCTTTTATTTAGGAATTTTATTATAATATCAATTCCATTTAAGCAGGAAGAGAGAATAATAGGTTCTTTTTATGTATGTCATCATGTAAACTCTTTTTTTACTAAATATAATAAATTAATTAATCTTTCCTTCTAGAATTTGGTAATTACAAAAATTTTCTAAAGAAATATTTGTCTTGTAATATTTTTGTGATGATGAAAGAGTTCCGTCTAATATATATAATTTTTTATCGAATTAATATCCATCGGAAAAGCTTCTAACGAGCCAATTTTTGACAGATCTCCCCCAAAAAAGTTCTATTTAAAATCTAGGTGGTTTTTAGTACATAGTAACATTTAAATTTTAAACTTTTAGAATGCACTTATCATATATATATGAAGTCACCAATTACAAAAAAAAATTTACTAGTTTATATAGAAGAAGAGATATTGTAAAAGAATATAATTGCTCTTGTAGGTGACAATATTCCCCTGCAAAAGCAATATTCAAAGGGAGCTGATGGTTATTATCTCAGAAGTCATTTTTGTTGAAGAAATTAAAGTTAACTTTTTGAAATAATAACTATTAATTAAGTGACCACTAGACAAATCAACCTTATTAAAAGGTCTAAAAA